GAAGATGGAGATGCGGAACGTGAACTCCACGAAGATCCGTATCAACAACGAAAGCGCCGAAGGTTAAATGGAAAAGGCAAAGATGATGCTACGTATGGTGTTTTTGGTGAAGATGAAGACGAAGGTCCGCGATATAGGCGCGCTGGCCCAAAACGGAAAGCAAAGTGAGTGGTGTATTCATGTTTATATTATGCATTCTAATATACAACAGAACTCCAGTCTTTCAAAAGGCTTCGACTAGCCAACGTCCAAAGGCACAGGAGCCAAATAGCCAAGACGAGGACGAGTCAGAAAGTAGCTCCGGCGAGAGTAGTGAAAGCGAGGAATCTTCTGGAGAGGAAGACGCTCCACAAGTAGTACCAGAAGCTGACGAAGACATGGAAGTGGAAGAGGAGCCTCCCGCCCCTACGCGAGGTGGTATCGGAAGTGGCCGTGGAGGCATAGGCAGTGGTCGCGCCGGGCTCGGTATGGGATTTACACGTGCGGGTACCATGAAAGAAACCGATACAGAAGAACCCCAACCGGCGGCTTCCACATCTCAACTTGGCGGGATCGGGACGAGAAAGTTTCCATCCTTTGCCCTCTCAAAAGCGCCTACATCCGAAAATCAGATGGACACAGATCCCCAGCCTTCCAGTTCCCGAGGTGGTATTGGCTCATCCAACCGCCCGCAACCTGCGGATCCTCAGCCTCCCGCAGCCCCGTCTCCCCTCCCTCCACCATCTTCCAATTCTGGTGCCTCGACGCCACAGCAAACCAATCTACCGACCTCCTTTGGAGCGCGTGCGCAGAGGGCGTTTGTGCGGAACAGTCAACCATCTACACCCGGCATCGCTCCAGTCCAACTTTCCTACGAGGAAAAAGCGCATTTCGCGAAAATATCCGGCAGCTTTGGTGCGAAAATGATGGCGAAAATGGGATGGGAAGCGGTACGTACCATTCAATTACCAGAGTCTTGGACAAGGTCACTAACCTAATGTAGGGGACAGGTCTGGGTGCGAGTGGCCAGGGTATTGTTACTCCAGTAGAAAGCAAACTGCGTCCCAAAGGTGCTGTTGGTATTGCCTATGGAGGTTTCAAAGAGAGGACCAAGCAGGCCGTTGCCGAGGATCGGAGAAGGGGCAAAAAGGTCAGCGACGACGAAGACGAAGATCGACCACGACGTCGTGGGAAGAAACAAGGAGGTGGAGAAGAAGGTCGTGACAAGTCTGAAGCATGGAAGAAGAAGAGCAAGCCTAAAAAGGTGGCCGTCGAGCACAAGTCGTACGAAGAGATTGTACGCGAGGCCGGGCTTGAGACACCTGCTGTTCATCAAGCTGGTGTTGGCCCAATCATCGATGCCACTGGAGCAACTTTACGAGAGGTTTCATCTATCTCCGCCGTCTCATGGACGCCCTCTACGGACACCACGCGCATCCCAGAAATCCGGCACAACCTTCGTCTCATGGTGGATATGACGAAGCATGACCTGCTCGGTCTGGCCAGAGAGGGGAAAACACTGGAAGAAAAGCGACGCAAGGGTCGGCTGGAGGAAGTCCGGCTGGCAAAGCGAGTCAAAGAAGAGGCAGAGTTGATTCGACGACTGGGAGAGATGAAGCTTGTGGTAGAAGAGCTGGCCACTGTTGCCAAAACTGCGCAGCGTACTTCTATGGCTCAAGCTTCCAGCGACTACGAAGCAAACGGGGAAGGGCCTTCCTCTCTGGAACTCTTCTCGCCATTTGTCGAGCGCTTTACTCGAGACTTTTCGTCAGAGTACGATGGATACAAGGTTGACGAGGTATTAGTTGGGGCTATGGCCCCTCTGTTCCGCGCCGAGCTCGCTGGCTGGAGGCCACTAGAGGAACCGCGAAAATGGACGTCAACGTTGAGCCAGTGGAAGGACGCACTAAAGATGAGCGGTAGAGAAAAGGAAGAGGAGACGGCACTTGCGACTTTTTACGGGGTGCCTCCAGCGAGAGAGACCGTCGCCGCCAACGTTGTGCAAGCCATGACACCCTGGGAAGCGTTGCTCTGGCATGCATGGTTGCCCAAAATCAGGAGTTCCATCAAGTACGTCGTATCCTCCGTTTTTGTCCGTGCTTACTCACCACCGATCACAGCAATGACTGGGATCCCACGGACGCGCCTTCTGCAGTTGCTCTTTATGAAGCGTGGTTCGACCTCATTCCTCCGTTTATGCAAGACAATATTCTGGATCAACTCATCCTGCCCAAGGTCCAGCGTGCGGTTTCCACTTGGAAGCCACACTCTTCAGCAGGCACATCCTCGCTACATGCTATCGTCTTCCCTTGGCTACCCCACGTGGGTTTACGCATGGAAGAGTTCCTGGGAGACCCACGAAGAAAAGTCAGGAACATGTTCAAGGCCGTGGACATTAGCCGCGGGGTACCGGAGGATCTCATGGCTTGGAAACAGGTGAGTAAGCTGATCGCGGGAGGATTGACCACCGCCGACTGTTTCGTTTAGATATTCGACGCTTCTCAGTGGGAAGATTTAGTGCTCAAGTATATCGTACCCAAGTTGGGAGCGACCCTTCGGGAGGACTTTCGCATCAACCCACGCAACCAAAACATGGACCCACTCAACTGGGTTTTCGAATGGTTTACTCAGGGCGTGATACGGGGTTCAATCATGGGGCAATTGATGGCGAAAGAGTTCTTTCCAAAGTGGTTGGAGACGTTGCACCGGTGGTTGATTACGCCGAAGGCGAGCTACGAAGAAATTGTTCAATGGTGCGTTTTTTTTGTATACTGATCGGTTTGTACCCGAATCACCTTGCTTCTGATTCTAATGCGGATGTCAAGGTACACGTTTTGGAAGGGGACACTGCCCGCAGAGGTGACTGTGTTGCCGGCTGTGCAAGAGGGCTTTCACAACGGTATCTCGCTCATGTCGGAATGGGCAAGCATGGACGAGTCGCAGCGCGTCAATTTACCCAAATTGTGGCTGGCCACGCCGGCTTCGCGTCCGCAGGCACCAACAACAGCCGCAGCGGCGGCGGCGAAAAAGGCCACTGCCGCACGTGTTCTCGAGTCGAGTTTCAAGTCCATTGTGGAAGAATATGCGGCCGAGCATGAATTGCTGTTCATGCCTACGGGCAAAGTTCACGAACGGTCACGGGTGCCCATGTACCGCGTCACGGCGAGGATGGATGGGAAAGGTGGGGTTGTGGTGTATATTTTGGACGACATGATTTGGGTGGTGGAGGGCGGAAGTGAATCGGGTGACGTCGAAGGGGTCGGATTGGAGGAACTGGTCCTGCTCGCGAGAAAGGGCAAATGATCCGTTATTCATTCAATGTTAATGGTACAATCTAATCTGGACGGTGGTAAAACAACTATAAAATGCGTGAATGGAAAGGGTGTGGTGCTAGTTCATATCGAGGAATGACGGCATGGGAGGTTCGGCCTTGCGTAACGAGGAGATTGAACTGGCAATTTGTCTCGGTGCAAAGTAATGTCTGTACAAGCGAGAGGTCAGTCACACGGTCAATCGGGAAAGGCAAACGTTTACGCACTGGTGGATCGGGATTCCCTGAAAGGTGGCAAACCCTTTTTCGTCTGTCGGTGGCGGACTGGGAAAGTCGAGATCGTCGTCAATGGTTTCCAATGTCTGATAAGCAGGAGGAGGGACGTCGTATTTGAGTTGCGGGGGCTGTGTGGAGGGTAATTGGCCAGTAATATCTGGCGGTGCTACGGTGCGAATCAACGGCTCGCACGATCCATCGCGGGTAGAAGTTGCCGTCGTCGAGGTTGTTTCGGAGGTTTCGTGTGAAAAGTGGGATGAACCAGACAGGTCGACGTTTGTGCTCGGGCGAGGGGATGTCGAGTATCTCCGTGGGGGGGCATAGCTTGGTGCGCGCAGGTAGACGCGTTCCGGTGTGGCTGGGAGTGGCTTTGAGCTATAGGAGAGTCTACTATTTCGTGATGCTTGTGCTTGGAGATGAATAGGAGTGGTCGGACCCGCCGACTCGGCGCTACTGTCAGTCGTACTTGCATTGTCCATGATCGGAGACTCGGAAACAGGTGTCACTACCACGATGGTGTCGGGTATTTGGAACGGTGGTTCGGGCGAGGAAAAGATGCGCACGGGAGCCGTCGGTGGCTCGTCAATCTTGGGGAGTGAGGAAGTGCTGGCCGCGGAAGGTTTGGTCGGATAGGGGCTCTTCTTGGGACCCATGTCCTTTGACTTTCGCTTGTTTGCCAAAGAGCTACCGGGTACCCATGGCTTCGAAGGTGTTGTGGGGTATGGGCTTTTCATCGGAGAGGCATTCGTCGCACCAAGCGTACTCGTCGACGCTTCTGGGCTGGGCGAGGTCCCCCTATGTTTACGGTACATTTCGACGAGGTTTGACATGGTCAAGGTGCAAGAATGATGCTTAGGAAGTCGCTACCCTAATAAACCGAATCTTTTCTCTTTGGGTTCCATATGGTGCACTCGTGAGATTTTTTTTGGTGGCGGTCCCAGGATGATTCTCTCCCTACAGATGGGTGTGTCTATTTTCTCGTTTTCAATAGAAACCCCCGGTGATTGATTGAGAAAACGCGAATCATAAAACGTGGTAGCTGGCCGAGCGACTTCTCGCCATGGCCCGAGGTTCTCACGGGCGATGAGCATAAAACTGTTTCGTGGGCTTGATCGAGCCCGTAGACGTCGATTGTTTGTGCAGACGTGTGTGGACTGACATATGCGGACGGCGAAGGGATAAGGGTCGCAGGAGCGGAGTCTGAAAATGGAAAACCGAAACACGAAAGTATCCGGGAACACGAGAGTATCCGGAATCACGAGATAACCAATAGCACCCTGTAATCCCGTTACTAAACCCGTTGATCATGCGAGCCCATTTCGCTTGCTCTAGCCACAGCGCCGTTGCGAAATGACGACGGCAAAGGACTGCGAGGATCGGACAAAACCGCGCCACTCGGCTAAAAAAAAGTGACGCGAGTTCTCCGTACCGCCGCCCCTATGGCCCCAGCCCCCCTCCCACGCACAAAAAAAGTTGGAGGACACATGAGTCGAACACGTTACCTCTCGCATGCTAAGCGAGCGCTCTACCGATGAGCTAGACCCCCGATTGACATTCTTTTATGTGATGGAACCACGATCCCTGCTCATTTCGCCCTATGCGCACTTGGCTGGCTGGCGGCGGGCCCTGCGGCAGCGCCTGCTCGCTCGCGCCCCACCGATGAGCTAGACCCCCGATTGACATTCTTTTATGTGATGGAACCAGGATCCCTGCTCATTTCGCCCTATGCGCACTTGGCTGGCGGCCCTCTCGGGCCGCCCCGCAAGCTCTCGGCCTGCGGCCTCGAGCATCCATAGAATCGAGGATGTTGAGTCTATTAAATCCCATCTCTCAGCTACAGAGACCAAAATATGTAACCACTATTAAACTGCCATCATCCCGCCGAGTTGCTCATCACAGCCGGTTGACGGTGGATAAGGTGTGCTTGTAATGTGCATTCAGTGATTTCTAACACGAAGAAGCACAGAGAAATCTCTGCATA